TCGGGAAGCAACAGGAGACTGTCGCCGAGGGGGCGGGCCAGCGCCGGCGCGCATCCGCCACCAGCTGTTGCTTTTCGGTTTTCCTCTGCTGAGGGTGGGGAGGGAGCGAGACAAACACGATGACAGAGCTAGTGTGTCTCTGAAATAGTAAACTGGGGTGGGGGAGGGGGGTCGGGAGGGAGACACGGGAAAATACGAGAAAATAACAAAACACCAGACGCAGCAACCCACGTTAATTGGGAGACTTGGCAATTAAGGGGGATGTGCACCAAAAGCATGAATGGCTGGGTCGTAGGCGCGCGAGCCGTTTCTGGTTGGAGTCGTCATTTTTGACGGGAGCCAGGTGGGATGCTGGGGGCGGGGGCTCACGAGAACCACAGGTGCGCTGCCGAGATACCCTGCTTCACGGCCTCTCATCCTACCCCTTTCAGGTCACAGTAACTCCCCTCCCCAGTTCGCTCCTCAGGTCCAAACACAAGACTGACAAACTGAATTAGAAGATTAAAGTCCTAGTTCTGCAACTCGACCTGTGATGGGACCTTGAGCACATCACTGAAGGAAGCTCTAGAGTCTCAGTTTTGTCCCCTGTGAAATGAGTCTGAGAACACTTGACCCCCAAGGCTGAGCCCAGTGCTCAATGTGAGTAATCAATAAGCAGCAAGTCAGCAGGGAGCAGGGGCTGTGAGAAGGGCCTGAGGCCAGGCATTGGCCCAAACCACAGATGCCCCTAGGGCTGGCCATTTGGTTGATAGCCAGGAAACCATGCTGGTAGCCATGAGGCTGGTGGCCATGAGGCTGCTGGCCTGAGCCAAGAGGGGGATTGGCAGGATCGGGGGGTGAGGGTGGCTCCTGAAGGAGGCTATAAATGTCTAATCCTGAGACTTCCTTACAGACCCTGAACCTTGGGAGGATGGGTACTTCCAGGAACAGGCCCATCCCTACCTCTAACACCCCCAGCCCTGGCCCTCAGTTTTCTCATTTGTAAAATGAAGGAGACAGACCAGATAATCTGGACACCCCTTCCAGCTTGAACCCAAAATGACTGGATTATTTTACTAGTCCAGTCTCAAAACCCGAAGGCAGGGAATATATATGGATTCCAGAAGGTATGCACAGATGTGGAAGCCATAAGTGGCTACTGAGAAAGAGTGGGGACCCTTGGGAGGACAGCTCAGACTCTGTGACACAGAACCTCAGAGTGGATGCTGCTCCGGCCCAGCCCCAAACTTCTTTGGGTGCCTGTGAAAACCAGAGCTCTTTCCCCAAAACCTAACCTAACTCTTTTGAGCCATGTGACTTTACACAGATCAGGTAACCCTTCTGTCCATGTTTTTTCCTCTCCATATGAGGTCTTGGTTACAATTGTCCTACTCCTTTCCCTCTACGCGAGAGAGACCAAGCCCCATCACTTGCTGGGCCCGTATCCTTGGGCAAGTAGATTAGTCCCTCCCAGATGTCCTTGAGTGCTGCCTGCCTGCCGCCTCTCTGTGTTGCTTTTTGGAGTTCCTCCTGGTGGGGACATGTCAAGCCCGGGCTCTACAAGCCTGTTTGGGAAAGGACGGGCCAGGAGTTGGAACTGCAAAGCCGAGCCACCTGTTAGTACCGGACCTTTTCTTGCCAGAGAATTCCAAGGTGTTGGGCCAAATTACTTCCCTGGTGCCTCTGAGCAGCAAAAAGCCCCTGGGAGGCGGCAGAAGCTCCAGTCCCGCGAGAAAGGGCCCCTGTTTGCCCCTCAAATGTGCTTCTTCCCAGCCCACCTGGAGGCACTGCTGAAGGCGTTTGGGGTAACAGCAACAAAATCACACCCAAGCTTGTTCTGGGGGGCATCCTGTCTCACTTCTAACCACATCTAGCCCCTGTGAAGCAAGTGGGCGTGGGTAAAAAAAGGTCACCAGCTGCTCCATTCTTTCAACACATTTATCAGTATGAATAGCTACTGGGTACCGAGCCCGGGGCCAAGCTCCAGGCTACATAGTGAAAAGAAAGTCATGGTCCTTTGGAGCTAATGGACAAGATAAAGATTTATCAAATAGTCCCATGAATAAGTGTGTAATTAAAACAGGGTTTAGAGCCCTGATGTAGCATTTGAGAAGTGAGCTGAAGGGTTAGGAGGAGTTAAGGAGACGAAGTGAAAGAGCCAAGAATTGGAGTGACAGGCAGTGTTGGGAAATGATCCTGACACAGGAACAGAAGCAACATGTGCAAAGGCCCTGGGGCAGAAGGAACATAGTATGAAAGGAGCCACTGTGGCTCTGGAACAGAGGAAGGAAGCAAATGCCAGACCAAGCAGGCCTGAGAGCTCCTGAGTGAATCCAGCTTTTATCCCCAGGACAATGGGAAGCCTCTAAGGGGCATTAAGAAAACTATTGCAAGCCAGAATTAGGGAGTGGCTGGTTCTGGAAGTAGGGGGACCCTACAGTCAAGGATCAGGACCTGTGAGGAGAATGGTGCTAATGTGAAGATGAGAAATGGGCCTGGATCCCAACTGAAGAGAGCCTTGCTTCGCTAGAGGCCAAGGAGCAAAGAGAGAGCTGGGGCAGGGGTGCCTGGCCATGGCGGGAGTAGGACGCAAAAATACAAAAACTATTCCTAAAACCCTCCCCAAGCCCCCGAGTAAGAGCCATGGAAAGACCTAGCGCTTAGAAGGACAGTGTAACTGTTGAGAGCATAAAGGACTAGTCCATGCTTTAAACTTGTGCTGAGCTGACTACATACCTTGTAATTGTGCAGCTAAAAACCCATCCAGATAACACTTGCCCCCAGCCTCCTTGTGCTGCGGTGAAAATAGCCCTCAGTATGCTCAGCCATAAAAAGGAATGAAATAATGCCACTTGCAGCAACATGGATGGACCTAGAGATGATCATACTAAGTGAAATAAGTCAGACAGAGAAAGACAAATATCATATGATAGCATTTATATGTGGAATCTAAAAAAATGGCACAAATGAACTTATTTACAAAACAGAAACAGACTCACAGACATAGAAAACAAACTTACAGTTACCAAAGGGGAAAGAGGGGAGGGATAAATTAGGAGTTTGGGATTAGCAGACACACCCTACTGTACATAAAATAGATAAACAACAAGGACCTACTGTATAGCACAGGGAACTATATTCAATACCTTGTAATAAGCTATAATGGGAAAGAATCTGAAAACTAATATAGATGATAGATAGGTAGGTAGATAGATAGAT